GGGAGAGAAACGGCGGGCAATGGGCGAGAAGTAAGCGCAGGCAGTCGAGGAGATACACGCGGTGGTTTGACAGAGGAGAAGACAGCACAGAGACAGAAGGGGTGCGGCGACGTGTGGCCAGAGGGGATAGAGGGAGGAATGCGCCACGACGGTGGGTGTCGTCGGGTGTGGTAAGAGGCCAACGCAGGCGGAGAAAGGGGCCACACAGAGGTAGATCGCAAAGAGGGGGATGAACCATGGAGGGCGTTGTCGGGGAAGGCAGAGTGTTGAGTGCAGACACGGTGCACACAGTGTTGTTGCGAGCCAGAGAAGCCAAGCGTAGTAGACGCGTAAGCCAGAGGAGCGCCAGAGGGAGGGAGAAAGGGGGGGAATGAACCACGACGGAGGATGTCATCGGGCATAGCGGAAGGCAGAGTGTTGAGTACATGGTGCGCAGCGTTGTTGAGTGCAGACACGATGCACGCGACATTGTTGCGAGCCAGAGGAGTCATGCGTAGTGGATGCATAAGCCAGAAGAGCGACAGAGGGAGGGAGCAAGGGGGGGAATGACCACGAGAGATCGTCGGGCGGTGGTGGTAAGAGACCAACCTGTTGAGAGCGACATTGAGAAGCACGCGATTACCAAGAAAGGAATCAAGGCCGGCTATGGGAATATACTCCCACGGCACGGAGGGACAGCTTTAGGATAGGAGGGGAAGGGAGAGCATCAGTTGTACGTGAGGGAGGGTGGATGTATGCGGTTGGTATGAGAGGACGCACCAAGTACATACAGAGGGCGAGCGTGACCGCGGAGGGCAAGGGAGAGTGGGCGTAGTAGAGCGGACGCACGCGCATCATGGAAGGGTCACAGGAGGGGCGAAGCGCATAGGCAGTGACAGCTGAGGGGAGCGCGTAGGCAGTGAACAGCAGCATAAGGGTGGGCGTGGTAGGCTCAGGGTGAGGGTTAGGGAGGGGCGAGGGATGGCGTAGGCCGGATGCAAGGAAGGGGGCAGACGGTGTGAGTGGGGAGGGCAGCGCGGGCAGCGCGGGCAGCACAAGC